GAAGAGTTGGATCCGGAGGAAGACGCCGAGGGCGAGGAGGACGACGGCGAGGACGACGAGATTGCCTGGTCGCGCAGGCGGTGGGGCCCAGCCTGGGCCCGCGCCTCCCCTCCGCCGTCCGCCTCCTCGCGGCCGCCCTTCCGCCAGGGTGTGCAAGCGCTCGGTCGGCCCTGCCGCGTCGCAGTCGGCTGCGTTAGGGCGGTTCGGTCTGGTCGCCTCGCCGCCGCGCCTTTCTCGGCCGCGTCCGCCTCACCTCGGGGCTCCGGTCGGTTTCGGCTTTGCTGTCGGTTCGGTCGGCTTTCGGTTTTGGCCTCGCCCTGGACGGCCTTGCTCCGGCCAGGGGGGGGAGAAGATTCGAGGCTCGAGGTTCGACGGCCAATTGAGGTCACCCCCCAGGGTCCACATCGGTCCGATCGATACGACTCGGTATCGATGCCGACGGGCCCGATCGGATCCAGTTCCGACATTCCGACGACCCGATAAGGCCATGTGTTTGCATGGCTTAGTTGTGCATCCTCGCACGGCCGATGCGGTTTGCTGTCGACTCCAATGCCGGTGCGGCCCGCTCCGAAGCGCATTTCGAAGCGATCCGACTTCCCAATTCGATGCTGACTGATATTGCCTCCCAGGGGCACGAAGATGATCGCTCTGCGCGCGTTGCGGCCTGGGCCCGGCAGCTGCCATTCTCCAAGCTTCAGGAGGGGAACAGACACGATTCAATGCCGACCTCCAAGAGAATGAGAAAATTAGGGAAGTGGGGGGAAAGACGACAAGCAAGAAGACACAGGGAAGGATCGGGTACCCTGGGATTTGTGCGTGTGCATCTGCCTGTTCCCCTGGGCCCTCTCCGGATACTTGGCCGCTCGAGGGCGGCGAAGAGAGGAGCGCGCGCCGCCCCTCGCTGGGCCAACGGCGCGCGGAGGGGGCCGAGGGCGAGGTGCGTCGCAGTTCTGCTGTCTTCGTCGGGGGTGCGGGGCCTCGCCCTGAGGGCCCAGACCCCCTCGAGTCATGCAAAAATCACGACGGGAGGTTTTTCCATATTTGTGGCTTTGGGGGGCCCCTACCGGGCCTCGGGACCGTCAAAAAACGATTCAGGATGAAAAACCGGTCCTGGGGAATGGGTCCAAACCTCTGGGGGTCGACGTCATGAAAAAATCATGACGTCGGGGGTCTGGGTCTGTCGAAGAAGAAGAAGAAGAAGAAGAAGAAGAAGAAGCGCTGCAAGTTAAGCATGAACTTTGGGCGACGGGGCCGCGCCCTGGGCCCTTGCCACTCGAAAGCTGGGCCAGGGCTGCTAGAACCGTGGCTGCTAAAACGGCCCTCCTGGAAGGAAAAAAGAGCAACGTCCCGGAAGGAGGCGCGGCACGCGAAACGGTCGACGGGCTTCTTCACGGAAGGACGAAGACAACTTCCCGGAGGTCGATTTTAGCAGCCACGGATTTAGCAGCCCTTGCCCGGCTTCCGAGTCATGGCACTTCTTGGCCCCCTGCGTCTTTCCCTCCCTCTGTCGAAGAAGAAGAAGAAGCGCTGCAAGTTAAGCATAAAACGTTGGGCGCTCCGCGCGGAGTTCTTGGATCCGCGCCTGGGCCCCCCCCCCCGCGGCGCCTCTGGCGCCGCCACTGGCGCGCGCCAGGGGGGTCCGCCCCTGACGGCGTTTTTCTTCCCCCTACCCTGCTCGCCACCATCAACATATGTCATAGTGTTCTCTTGTCATCCGCATTATCCTTTTTCTCTCTGCGCCCCCAATGGCTGCAGAGGTTGAGGGCAGGTGATTATGAAAAAACGCGCTCTCGTTGGGAATGTCCTTCCAGATTGAGCGCCTGGAGCTCGATATCTTTCACAGCTCCAAAGGCGATGGGCGCATCGTTCTCGACACCATTCTTCATCCCGAAACGTTTCTCGTCGGTCCAGGGGGCCGTGGAGGGCCCCAGGGTCCCGAAAACGGCGACAAAGTTTTAGGATCCGTTGTCTTCATGCTACAGTCGTATTCTGAGCCAAGCCCAGAGTATGATTCCCGCCCGACCGCTGGGGTCTTTCCTCTCCGCTGTCGTGAGCCCAGCTGTCGGCCATAAGGCCCACTAAATCACGTCCGCAGCCACTGGACGGGCCTTTTGAGCCACGAGGCCTCATCATACCCATTCTGTTGCAGCCGGCGCGGGGAGCAGACTCCGCGGACATCCTCTTCCGCCTGCTTCTGCTGCTCCTCTTCCCATCCACCTACAGCACGAACCGCGGTGAGAGGCTACAAAACTGATGCCACTCGGGTGCTTGTCACCGGACTTCAACGCATGGAAACAAACAAGAATACAAAGATTTGATATAGGTCTCCGGTGCAGTCGAATATTGCTCGGGATGACGAGCCTTCTCTGGGGAATTGGTCGGGACTTCGGGGGACCCGTATTTCAAAACCCTAGACATCAGATCTCTGGGCCAGTTTTGCCGATCTCTTTGCTAGCCTCGGTCAAGCAGCCTTTTTTGCGACGGCACCTCAACCAAGAGCTCGTCTGTCGACTGTCGCCTCTTTCTCCCCTGAGGTCCCACGTCGCAGCCTGGCCCCCCGACCCCATCGCACTGCGGCATCCCTCGAGCCGGATCGATCCGTGAGGGCCACGGGGCCCGAAATGGGGCGAAAAACACCGCACGGCGTGGGCCACACGCTGCGACGCCAGGATCTCGGGGCCACCCCCGGCCCGTCCAACTCCGTGGCGCAGCCACCGGGGACCAGAGTACAGTGCCCACGGCGGCGCGCGCCCCTTGGAGCGACGGAAGGTGGCCGTTCTCTTGCGCTTTGTTTTGCCGATCTGCGCGGGCCCTCGCCCCCCCTCTCACCAGCCTCGAACTTATCCTGATCCCTAAGATTGACACGCCAAAAGGAGATGACAATCTTAGGGAGACACCCCCAGAAGCTGAGGAAATCCCTTAGATCGCCATCGTGATGAGGCGATGCCCAACATAGGGATAGGGATATGTTCCAGGCTGGTAGCCCTCCCCACCCCATCGAGTAGATCTCGGCTGTTCGGGGCGCCTGCTTCAAGCAGGTGGCGCCTCCCCCGCAGGACGCACTGCCGCAAACAGTCGCATCAAGCAGAAGCCCGGAGCGAAACCCCCCCCGCTTCCCCCCGATCCGCCCAGTGTCGAAACGCCGAATAAGAGAACGTTCGCAAAACGGGGCCGGCTGCGCGTACGCTCGCGCGCAAGTTTCCCGCGCAGGGCTGCTCCACGCGCGGTGCCTCGCCGGCGGCCCGCGTAAGCCGCGGCGCAAGCTCGCGATGGTTATGACGTGACTCCTGGGAGGTTACATTCAGCCTCGGCGCTGTAAGAACGGTTTTTTGAAGGCAGATCTGCCTTCAAAGTAAGAACGGTTTTTTGAAGGCAGATCTGCCTTCAAAAAAACATTCTTTCTGAAGGCAGATCTGCCTTCAAAAAACCATTTTTTGAAGGCAGATCTGCCTTCAAAAAACCGTTCTTACAAGGCAGATCTGCCTTCAAAAAACCGTTCTTACAGAGTATATGTCGAGAGCGGGCCTGATCCTGAAGAGTCCCGTGTAATCTCGCTTCATCCCGATTGATGTGGCCCAGTTGGGCCGAATCCAAGCCCTGATCTGGCTTCGATCTGGCTCCGTGGCCCCACATAATCGTGCTGACGAAGACCTCCCAGCAGTTGCTTTCTAACCACGTCTTCTCGCGTAAGCCCTCGTCGGCATATTTTTCGCCACTGCCACTACGGTCCATCGGCTATAGACTATGGGCTGCCGACCTATGGTAGTGGTAGCGGTTCGCCAGGCGCGCCTGGCGCCTCTCATAGCAAAGCACCAACACAGGCAAGCCGTCCCTGATCGATTAGCGGTGGTAGTGGAAAGTAGGCCCAGCAAGACCCGTTTCTTCCTGACCGTTAGATGCCAGAGTTTTCTGGTCGCGACAGACGAGATCGGTCGGTACCGATGTTGTTTCACATGATTGTATCGGCCGCGACGGATCTGCTTCAAAATCGGTGGCGACCGATCGGTCAGCACCAAGCAGTCGCGACCCATTTTGAATCGCACGCGATCGGCCGCGACCGTTCTGCAGTGCCGACCGGTCGCTGCCCATCGCCGCCGCAGACATCTCGCACTCGCGATGCTCTGGGCCTCCGCCGCCCGCCTCCCCAGCGCCTCGGCGCCCATGGCTGCCGCGGGCCTGCCCGCTGGCGCGGAGGCCTCGCTGCAGCGCCGCGCGCCGGCGCCGCCGGCCCGCTGCGCCCTCGGCCGGTCCCGCGCGCCGGGCCCCGCCGGTGGCCGCGGCCGCCCCGCGGCGCCCGCGGCGGCCGCGGGCGCCGCGTGCGCCCTGGCCGCGGGCCGGGCTGCCAAGGCGCAGCAGAGAGGGCCGGCGAAGCTTCGAGGTTTGAGGCTCGGGTTCTGCTGGCGTGTGCCTCGTGTCTCGGCGTCCTTCCAGCCTCGGGGCGCGCTCCACCTGCGCCTCGTCGAGAGCGCTCCCGGGGTGTCCCGATCGGCCTGGATGGCCGCCGGAGGCCCGAGGCATGACCCGAGAGCCGGACGAACGACGAACGTGAACTATGGCGAGTTGAGGCAACGGCACTGAGATCGGCGCGGGCGTTGCTGAGGGGATGGAGTTCTTTTAGGTGGATGCTTATGTGGGTGATATCTGGCCGAACCTAGCTTGTTCGTGGGTTCAGAGCGCCATAGGCGGCTTACGGGGTAACGATCCGGGCGAAATGGGCTCCGTCTATTTGGCGGAGTTCTCTACCCCTTCGGCCCTAGGTCGCCCTTGGCATTCGCATCCCACTTACATAAGCTAGGCTTGGCCAGACATAGCCCACCTCAGCCTCTACAGCCCCTCTGTCCCCTCAGCAACCTCTTCGCCGATCCAAGAAGTTGGCCTTCGGATGGGGGGCCTCGTCGCCACGGCTGGGCGCAGCTCGGGAAACTCGTGCGCTTGGACCACGGAAGGGGTCTTGGGACCAATTTTGAGCTACCGTTGTCTCGGTGCGCCCTGCTCCGAACAGGCCCGGCGGAGGCGCGGCCGCGGGGGCCTCGCGCGCGCGGCGGCGAGCCGCGATCAGGTCGTCGAACAAGGAGGAAAAAGGCATAAGCGAAATTGTGTCGGAGCTCCGCCTCTTCCTCCTCCTCCTCCTCCTCCTCCTCTTCCTCCTCCTCCTCCTCTCTTTCCTCCTCCTGTTCCTCCTCCTCCTCCTCCTCCTCCTCCTCCTCCAGCTCCCCCTGCTCCTCCTCCTCCTCCTCCTCCTCCTCCTCCTCCTCCTCCTCCTCCTGTGCTGGGAGAAAGCATCGAACCAGAGCACAGGGAGGCATGAGCGCTCCGTTGCCACAGGTTGTCACGAGTGCTGGCTGGACGACTGGCTATGCCCAGGTCTGCAGCGCCCGCCCCTGCTGCAGGCGGGCCGTCACCGTTTCACCGTCGCCGTCGTGACTGTCGTTGTCGTCGTTGTCGTCGTTTTCTCTTCGAGGACTTGGCCCCCACGCGCGGGCCTCGCCACCAGTCAGCGTCAGAGTCCTCCTCCTCGTAGTAGGCGATAGAGGCCGCGGAAAGGTCATCCGACGGAACCAAGAACGGCAAACGCACACGCTGGCACAGACCAGGGACCTCTCCAGTTTAGAGCGAGGACATGGGAAGGAGGGGGAGCAGAAGGCATGCGTGCAGCAACCACCCATACTCAGCGAACACTACAGGACCGTTCGAAGACATAGTTCCTTCAAGAATTGGAATATTGTGGTGCTGAGTGGTATTCATGAGTGGGCAGGAACAGAGGCAGCGATACAAACGGACTTACCACAGCATTGTGCTGTGCGATTCGGGGGACGCATAAGGAAAGTATGTTCTGATGTGCGTGGAACAAAGTAGCCCCTCACAACGCGACTCCCCCCCTTGAGCGCTCACATTCTAAATTGAGCAAGCCTACGCAGTTACAAGGTCCAGGATCGAGTATACGACCGCAAACAAATCGTGATAGCCATGCTTGCGCTTGCCGTGCATATGCCTCCGCACACTACAAACAGTATGGCACGATTGCGAGCAAGATCGTGGGATGTATAGAAGAGCAATGTGATAGACCAGGTTGTATAATGATGCCGAAGACATGCGGAACTACGAACTGTGACTTTCACGTGCACTGGGCACTAGATGGCAGTGTACAGCACAGTGCCGGATGGCACGTAGGACTTACGAGCCCATCAGTAGAGAACGAGAGCGGGAGATATATTCGCATGTTCTGCGAACGGAGCAGCATGTGTTCTGCAACAACCTCTACGGACATATGGCCGACGTACGGCGGTCCGACGGGCAATGAGTCACGCATTGAACATGTCATCGGCCCCGCAGGTGCTCTGCCGCTGATCGGGACATGCAGTTCTTAATCTTTACACCTGATCGATTCCAGCTAATACGAAGCATGTGGCACCGACATCGCATCCCTGTGTCTCTCCGCCTCCCGCTAGGAGTCGCCCAGCCCCCCCCTCTCGACGATGGCGCGACGGCATGGGCGGCAACGGCGACTCGCTCATGAACTGCGTAAAGCGAGGGAAGGGGAGGGTTGCTTTCTTCGCAGCGGCCGACGCGGAGCTTGAGAGGCTGAGGGGCGGGAGGTGGGGGGGGGGCGAAAGCCGTCAGCAACCCGACCATGCCTGAGGGAAGTTCCATTGGTCAGCGGCATGACAGGCACTTCGTGACTCTTTCGGCAGCGCGCCAAAACCACGGTCTCAGGGCGCGACAGGAGCGCATTCAGTCGATGGCCCGGCGAAGGGGGCTGCGCCTAGGCCGAGGCCCAGGGGTGCCCGCCCAAGAATGCGACGGGGTCAAGGAAGAGCTAAATAATGCGACGGTGCTCCTGAGAAACTACGACCAGAACACATCAAAGATCTTTTTGCTCGTGGATAAGATTTGTTTTCGGGGGGGGGGGGGGGGGGGGCGCGGGGAGCAGGCGAATTCGTGGAGATGCACCGACCGCGCGTTGCATGCGATATGAATGGCAAGGGGCCCCGCACAACGCATTATTCCCGCGAGGACCCATTGGGGCCCGGGCTGGCGGGCGCAGGAGCGGGGGAAACGCTCGTATGAGGAAGGGGGCCCAGGAGGAGCAGATATGAACTTAGCCGAGCCTGGGGCAGGCTACGAGGAAGCCTATGTTGACGAAATGCCACGACCGCTGGACGGCTACATCCTTCACGCCGTAGAGACAAACGACGAGAAAGCCCTGTTAAGCGACTGAAAAGGGAGAACTGCAGAGCGCGGCCATCCTTGGGGCTGCTCATTGAATGTGCTGGGTTGCTCTTGGAACCCGAGGCCCTGCGCGGAGAGCCCCGCGGCGACGCGCGAGCGATTGGGGCAGCTAGCAATCAGCAGGGCCGAGGAGAGGAGGGACGAGGAGGGGTTGCAGAAGTCAAACACGTTGTGTACGTTCAAGAAACAGGGTCAGCTGTTGTAAACATTGGATGGGTTGCAGTCGCCAAGTGAGTGAAGTCAGGGGGTCAGCTCGACGGGGGCGGAACTGGGCAACGCGCAGACACGAGCGCAAACGATCCCCCGGATTGGCACAGGAACGCGGCGTTCAACACTGGTACAACAAAACCAGCAACAAGCATGGGGGCCGCAGGGGTGCGCACCATGCGCGCATATTGCGCAGTCGGACTGAGTTGGCATTGAGGTATCTCCAGGCGCGGGGCCCTTGATTATCATTCGACTTGGGCGCGGCGGGGAATCGCGCGCAGATGCCGCGAGAGCGAAGCGGGCCACTCTGTGGAGAGCAAAGAGCGCTGCATGTAGCGCGGTACGTTCTTACTTCGACTGCGCGATCGCGTTCGCAAGTGCCGACAGAAGACTGCTACGAGCCGTGGCTTGGAAGACCAGCTCCGACAACGATCAACCCTTTGCAGCGGGGGCCATCAACGACGCGCGCCGCGCAGTGGATGCCGCGGACAGACAAAAGCACTCGGCCACCGCCGACGGAACTCAGATCGTCTACGTCGCCGAGCGGAACGAGACGGTGCGACAAGGCGCATCGCCAACACTGAGCGACGCAGAGAAGCCCATCACAGGCCAAACAAGCACCACTTTGCTACGGGCGCTTTCATGGGCGACGTTGCCGACGCCAACGCATTGCCACTTATGCAAACTGTCAACGCAATTGCACGGCATGGTGACTGGATCGCAACTCGGCCGGAAGAGGAGTTACACAATGAGAAGTCGACCCCGCGGCCACATAAAAGCAAACCACCCCATCAAAGCAAGGGGGGGGGGGGGCGTTTAGGAGACGTCTGGGAACTGCGCAATAAACAAAAAGACCAAGGGAAACCCGCTAGGAGACACGCGGGCACTCGGGCATCACCCCCCTCGGCGAGCATGGCGCATGGCGGGGGGGCCGCGGGCGCAGCGAAGCTGCGAGGACACGGCGGCGCCTTGGATTGAGTTCTGGGGCAGCAAGACCCCAGGGGGCAGTAAGTCGACTCAAGTTCGCGGCCGCTGTCGCTGGTGCAGGACAGGACGGGCTCGCTATTTTTGCGTTGCCCGAGCGCTACGCAGATGTTTTGGGCGCTGCGCTGGCGGCGCAGGCGCGGCTTCGAGAACGCGCGGAAGCGAAGGCGCGCGCAATTAGCTAAATGTCCCCATGGTCACGGGGCGGCGACGGCAGCGGCATTTCGGGGAATCGGCTCTCGAGGGTTCAACCGCGCAGGGGCGGCCTCGCAGCGTTCGCAGACGCGAGCGAGGACACGGTGAAGGGCGGTTCGGCTGGGACAGTCGGTCAGCCCACTTGCGCCAGGGGCGGCAGACTGAGCGCGATGGGCGCATGCCGACCCAGCGACGCCGCGACGCGCCGCGGCGATCTGGGCACAGGGGGATGGGGGCGGCGGCGGGCGCGAAGTGGAGGCAGTGGAGGCACCGTACTGGCGCGGCCAGATGCGCGCGAAAGAGCGGGGGGGGGGCGCGGGAACACGTTCACAAGTGCTCAGGTTTCCGCAGCTCACATGAGAGAGATCCTCAACGTCAGACTGCTCGTCGCCCATCAGGTGCCCACCAATCAGTCTCTTTGGTGTTCTAGAGTTTCTAGTATTAGAGCTTCCACGAATACGAGTTGCTGACTTTATTGGGGCAGGCCGCGCTGATTGCACATGGCAGCCCGACGTAGGTTAGCCAGATGTATTCACTCGTATAATCTATGTCCACAAGGTTCAACGCTTACCATCTTTAGCTGCGCGCCAGAGGATATCGCGCAGGCCCCCACTCGGTCGGGCACCCGCAAGGGCGAGCGTTGCCGCGTCAATGCCAGAACGAGCTGAAGGCGCGAACGCGGAATGGGGACGGAGGCAGGGGGCGCCAGCGGCGGAAGCCCCCCCCCCCCCCGGAGGACGGGGGGCGTCGGCCGATCAGACCATAGCTAGCAGTTTCCCAGAAGGTCGCCCCCCGCAGCAGCCAGGACATCGCTCGGCGGTTGCGCGTGGGGGCCAGCTTCTGGCCAGCGCCAGAAGCGCGCAACGTCTGCCTTCGAACCTTGGCCACGGTGCGCGACGACGCCGCGCCAGTGCGACAGGGGGAGAAGGCATCAGTTTGGACCTGCAGGCCCTCGCCTCACCGCCGCGATGGACAGGGCGATCAAGCAGCACCTCGCGGATAACAGTGAGCAGATCATGGCGGACATGAAGGTTTTCAGGCTGCTGGCGGAGCGCTGCGGGGCGATCGAGACGGCGCGGAGGCCGCTCGTTCTCGCGAAGGTCATCGCGTCGCGCAAGGCAGAGGATGCCCACGTCAAATAGAGGCGCGGACCACGCCGAAGAGCAACGCTGTCGCGGCAATATGACGCCCACAACCAACGCGACGCCGAACATCGAGCTGGCGCCAGGGGGCCGACGGCGCCCGCGGAAGTCATCGGGCTGCAGCCACTCCGCCCCGCGCCCTGATGGCGGCGCTCGACCGCGGCCTGCACTCGATCGGGGGCGAGAAGCCCGACGGGCCAGGGCCGAGGATGGCGCTCGAGAGGGCGGTCGAGAGGCGACCGCGAGCGCGGCAAAAGAGGTATACCCACCTCTAGATCTGGCCCAGACCATCGGTGGCAGCGCCGCCCTGTCTGGCGCATCCGAGCGCGCCTGCGCAGCTCGGCAAGGATCAGGACCGAGGCCAGCCATCCCGCTGATCGCCTGGGACGAAGAATTGGCCGAACAAATGAAGGGCCCAACGCGCCTTTCAAAACCCACGGCGCATTATCATACTTTACATTCCACACAGCATGGGGCAGGGGAGGCCTGCTACAATAGAGCTGCGACTTCAGGCAGCTGGCGGCCCGCTAGCATGCGGTTGCCATCTTGCGACGTGGCGGGGGCGGGGGGTCTACGGTCGGAATTCGGATCTCGCAGTCTACCGCGATATGCATTACCTACCTAACGACGGGGCAGCAACTGCCGGACAGCGTCAGTATTCCATTGGACTTTGGCTCGTAGCAAGGATTGCCTCTCTTGCCGCCCCGGCCCCGCGCGGCGGATGCAACGCATGGAGAGCCGATCGTCTTCCAGCCCACTCAGGCATCGACCTTCTGCGCGCGACGATCGCGACGACGCAGGGGGGGGGTCTCGAGCAACAGTGGCGCGCATTGCTCCGGCAGCACGCTGGCAAACTTTAGACGCAAAGAGAAGCAGACCCACGGTTCGCCAGCAGTTTCTTTGGGGGGAGAGCAGCACATAGTAGTCGCCGTGATCAGACTGCGCGCCAGAATCATGGGATCGCTCGAGGGCCAGATCCAGCTTCTCGACGGCGCCATCGCGACGATGGAAAGCCTGCTCGGGGAAAATACAACTCGGGACGAAGCAATCGTCTGGCCACGGGAGCTCACGCGGGAAGACGTCGACGCGGATGCGGCATTCTTGAGGAGTGAAGATGAGATGCGCGGAGCGAGGAAGAAGCTGCAGTCCAGTCGCGAGCGCATTTCTCCCGACCAGAGCCAGAAGAGAAGAGCGCGGAACTGCGCAGGGCACGAGACTACTACCTGTGCGTGTGCTGGCAGGGCACGGTAGCATGGGGTGAACGCCGCATCATGCCCCAGGCCTAGAAGGCCCCTCGGATGACCCCATGCCCCGCTCGACGGACCCCAGAGCCTCAACAGAGCCCGTTCGACTCCAGCTCCAACTGGGTAGTGACCCCCGCCCCCCCATCCAGGCTCGACCCACGTCCCGGTTGTCCCTGGGGCGAGTGAGTTCGGACTTCTCCTACAAAGGACAGGGTGGCCGCCCCCACACCCCCGTGCGTCGCGGTCGCGACGCCGCGGCGATAAGTGACGCGGGCCACGCGCTGGCACTTGCCGAGGCGAACATCCTGACGATCAGCCGGAAGGCGATGCAGAGCGGCGCCCAGACGGATATCGAGACGCTCACCGACCAGAGGGCCATGCCTCAGGACAGCCTCCCCCGCGCGAAGGCCGCGGAAGCAAACGCGAGCAAGGACAGCATGGCCAAGCGAGAGGGCATCCACACCATCGAGGGCCAGCTGCAGGGCATCTACAAGATCCTCGCGGGCTTCCAAACGCGCAAATCGACGCCGAGCATTTGGAGACGGGCACGGCCCACAGCGAGCACTACGACAACGAAATGGATATCAACGGGCCAGTTCGCCCCGAGTGGAAGCAGGACGATCCGAACACATGGGTGCACTACGACTGGCAGCACAAAGACCCCAACTTGTGGGTAGACTACAGGAAGCAGGCAGAGAGCAGCCCCGACGAGATCATCGTCAATATTGCCCGCTTGGAGATGAAGCTAGAGCAAGCGGCGCGAGCCCAGGGACGAACTCGAGAACTACTCCACTACGCCGGTCCGAACCAGTTGGGCGGAACGACCTTTTTTTATATCTGTGCTTTCTGCGGCCCGTTCCGATCGCGGCCACAGCCTCGGCTGGGGGTCGACACCTATGGAGCGCGTGCTCTCAAGCTCTAGCTTTCGGGCTCACAGTTTGGTGCAATCGCGGGTGGGGGGGGCCTAATCAGACAGCGTCCCACGTCAGGAAAAGCTGAGCAGCGAACCGAACATGATGCAAGGCAATTGTTACTATTACGTATGGAATGGGAGCATACCGGCTACCGCCACACCCACCACCCGAAATAATTAGAATCACCGCGCCAGCACAACAGTACCATAGCAAGTAAAACGCAGTCCTATATTAGGCGTGGGGGTGTGAGGAGGAGGGGAGAAAAAGAGAAAACCAACAAAAACAAACACGGAGCGCGCGCCCCTCCGATCACGAATTGTCGAGGACCGCCGCACCGTGCCCGCCCGGTGCCGCCCCTTTTGACCGTCCTCCAGTGGAAGACCCTCCCCTGCAGCTTGCAGGGCAAGGCGGTCCCCCTCCTCCTCCTCCACCTCCTCCTCCTCCTCCTCCTCCTCCTCCTCCTCCTCCTCCTCCTCCTCCTCCTCCTCCTCCTTCCTCCTCCTCCTCCTCCTCCCCTCCCTCTCCTCCTCCTCCTCCTTCCTCCTTCCTCCTCCTCCTCCTCCTCCTCCTCCTCCTCCTCCTCCTCCTCCTCCTCCTCCTCCTCCCCCTCGAGCAAGTGGAACCATCGGGGGCTCCCCCCCTCGAGGGCGGCAGCGAAGCGCAGGGGATGAGGCCCCTCCCCTCCTCGCTCCCGCGGCCAGGCCAAAGAGCCCGGCCCTGCATGGCAGTTCTCGGGGAGGCCAGACGAGCCCAGCGGTGGTCGGCTGTCGGCCGTGCGGAGCATCCCACTGAGCGCCTTTACTTGTTTACCTCCTCCTTCTCCTCGTCCTCGTCCTCCTTTTACTTCCTTTTGTTTCTCCTCGTCCTCTTCCTCCTCCTCCTCCGCCGCCTCCTCTTCCTTCCTCTTTCGCACGAAGACTGACCCAAACTGCACACGCATAAACTTTCAGAGCCCCGCGCCGATGTCTTGATTCGGCGCATAAACTTTCAGAGCCCCCTGGCGGCCCTCTGGCGCTACCCCTGGCGATCCGCGCTCACACCGCTCCCCGGCCCAGCATGGCCCAGGCCTGTGGCAATGGATATCCATACATCTCGTCGCCCGCCGCAGAGGGGGCCCAGCGCAGATCCGAGAGATCCGCGCGTCCTTCCGAAAGTTTGAATGTCGATGGTGCTGGTTCCCTGAAATCAGAATCCGTTGCAACATGCAACATCGCAACAACGTCACGACCAAGGAATCGATATGTGAGGGCCCTGGGTCCGAAAGAAACTGGACGAACACGCTTGTTGCGAAGAGACTGCAACGCCAGGATCTCAGGGTTGCTTCTCTCCAAGGTCGGTCGCCCTGTCGGCCGCGGGCCTCGGGTGACCCAGTCTGCCGAGCTGCGCCAGGGCGAGGGCCGCAGCGGCGATGGCCGCGGGCATGGCAGGTGGGAGTGGAGGCCGCCGTCAGAGAGGCGGCGTGGCGGCACCAACCGCCCCAGGGACATGGGCCTGCTGTACGAGGTGCTGCGGGACGACGGCATCCTGACCGGCCCCAAGGAGCGGCGGACGGCGGACGTCAGTTGGAGCTGGCCACTGGGGGTCTGACGTGGCCCGTCAGCGGTTCTGGCCAGAAGGAAGGGGCGGGTGAGGTTCGAGGTTTTGGGTTCGAGAAGGTTGTTTGTCTGTTTCGGCCTCCGGGGCCGCTTTCGGGCCCCACGACCATCACAAACGGATCCAGGCTGAAAAATTCCACCAGATGCACCCCGTGAGGGGTCCGGGAATCGATTTTGGAAGGATTTGCCTTCACCCCCCTCGCCCCTCTTGGCCGCCTTCAGAAGGAGCGGATGCTGTCAGAGCCTCGAGAGTTCAAGGTTGGGCGGTGCCACGGACGACGGCCGATTCGCGCCCCTCACTGTGCACCATCGTCGATCGTTTCCCCCGATGACATTTTCTGTTAAAGTTTTCTTCGGATCAGCTGGCGCCGAGTGCATATTCAAGCCAGCATGTGGGGCTGAAGGATCAAGTCCTGGACCTTTTGCGGAGGCCGCCAAGCAGGGCCTCTCCCGGTCCAGGCCTGTCCCGGATCATTTGGTTGCCCAACACACGCAGTAGTGTCAATTCGGGCATGTCCCTCTACAGGAGGAATACGCATTCTGCGACTATTTCTGTATATTTCTGAATATCTTAAGGGCTTCGCCCTCTGCCGCCAGCCCCCCTATACTAGTGCGGGTGGCTGCGCGGTGGTCTCCTTGGGGCCTCTTAGGGGTCGCCTTGGGGCCTCTCGGGGGCCTCTTGGGGGTCTCCTTAGGGCCTCTTGGGGGTCTCTTTGGGATATCTGGAAACAGTATGGGTCTCTTGGGGGTCTCCTTGGGGCCTCTGGGGGGGCCTCTGGGGGGCATCTGGGGGCCTCCTTGGGGCCTCCTGGGCCCCTGGGAGAGAGGTCGAGTTCCGGTTCGCGGACTCCCTCCTCGGCTTTCTTTGGGGCCGTCTTAGGGCTCTTTTGGGCCGTCTGGGGCGCCTCTTGGATCGTCTTGGGGCCGTCTTCGGGCCGTCTTGGGGTCGTCTTGGGGTCCTCTTGGGCCGTGATAGGGGGCTTTCGGGCCGTCGTGGGGGGATTTGGGGAACCTCTTGGCCCGTCTCGGAGCGTCGGAAAGCCGAAAAGGCGAGAGGGCCAACAACCTTCAAACACGTCGGGAGAATCCTTGATTTTTGCTCCGTGGGGCCGTCTTGGGAGGCCTATTGGAGGCATCTTGGGCCGTCTTGGGGCAATCGTGGGACATCTTGGGGCCATCGTGGGCCGTCTTGGCCTCCTGGGGCTCTTTTCGGGGCCTCGTCGGGCAATCATGGAGGCCTCGTCGGGCCGTCTTGGCCGCGCGGAGGCGTCACCGGGTGGCCGGGAGCAGCCTGGATATGAGGTTTACCCCTTCCCCCCGTTGGCTGTTCGGTGACGCGGCGTGGCCTCTTCGCAGGCAGTAAACAGGAGGCAGGAAACAGGACTGGACAGACAACAGGCCAAACAGCAACCGACAGCACATAAGATGACACGTGACAGCAGACCGCTTCGCAGCCCTGCGCCCCCGGAGGGGGCCGGTGGATTCTGAGCAGGCCGAGACATTTTCCTCTTGAGGCCCTCATGACAAATTCGAAGTGTCGTTGACTTCAGCGGATGCGGACGCAGCGATCATATCGCGCTCGCGTTGAGGTGGGGTGCGGCATATGTTATGGGAGGCTGCGGGAGTTGGCCAGGCCCGCTGTAGCGCTCGAGCACCCACATGTTATGGAGGCTGCGGGAGTTGGCCGGGGCAGCTGTGGCGCTCGAGCAACGACATGTTATGGGAGGGGTTCGGAGAGGTGGCCAGGCCCGCCGTCCGTCCTCCCTCATCTTCCTTTTCGCCCGCCCCTGGTTTGTGTTTCCCTACTCGTCCCCGTGTGTTGTGTCTCTCGGTAGGGAAACCCCTCCCCCGTAGAATCATAGCTTGGGCTGCAGGTCCACGGCTCCGTGGATCCATTTCCCCTTGGGTCCCTGGAATTAATTAGAATTATACATTTATTCAATCGCTTCGCTCATTCCGCCGGCCCATGTTGCATGATCGCTACTGCTTCGCCGTGGGCCCGGGCCATTGTGGCGCCGCCGAGGAGGAAGAAAATGAGGATGGGAAAGGGGAGGGGAGGAGGAGGAGAGGATGAGAAGGAGATCAGGAGGATGAAGATAAGTAGGAGGAGGAGGAGGAGGAAGAGGAAGGGGCGGAGGAGGAAGCCTCTCGTTGGCATCTTGTGTTGCTCTTGGGGCCAAACAGGGTCGTCGTCAAGATGCTTCTCTGGGAGGCCTCTTGGGGTCTTTTCAGAAGCCGTTCGAGGGCGCCTGGGAGGCATTTTTGAAGTCTTCTGGGGGGCCTCCTGGGGGCCTCCTGGGACCTCTTGGGGGCCTCTTGGCGGCATCTTGGGGCCTCTTTGGGGCCTCTCGGGGCCTCCTGGGGCCCTCTTGGGGCGGAAGGCTCGAGGTTTTGGTTCGTGGTCCCCCTCTTGGGCCCCTCTTGGGGCCGTCTTGGGGCCGTCTTGGGCCGTCTTGGGCGCCTCTTGGGTCGTCTCGGGGCCCTCTTGGGCCCTCTTGGGGCCCTCGTGGAAGCCTCTTGGCCCGTCTTGGGGTGCTCTTGGGGGCCTCCTGGGCCGTCTTGGAGCATCGGATGGCCGAAAAGGGGACAAGGCCCAAATTCTTTCAAAACCATCGTAAAATGTCTGATTTGGGCCTCTCAGGGCCCTCTTGTGAGGCCTCTTGGAGGCCACTTGGAGGCCTCTTGGGCCGTCTTGAGGTCATCATCGGCGTCTTGGAGCGCTCTTTAGGCGTCTCGGGGGCCCTTTGGGCAGTCTTGGGGGCCTCTTGGGGCACTCTTGGCGCGCTCTGGGGGGCCTGAGAAGCCACACCCAGGAGGAAAACCATCTCTGAGTAGCAGTGGTCGGGCGGCGGTCGGGGTACTTTTCGCCGGGGGACCCCCAGGGGCCGCCCCGCGCGCGCGAACTAGAAGTATTGTTTAGCAGTTACCGGAGATCTTAGCACGCCTTTGGCCCGTTGGGCCGGCGAATTCCAGCAAAAGAATTGGATCCACGAAGCTTCCACGCCAAAACATTGGATCCAGAAGACGCGGAAATTGGATCCACGTGACTCTTGCACACACGTAATTGGGTCCAAATGGACCCATGCGTTCCCATGCAAGAGGAAGAAATTTTCGGCCTGGGGATGTATATATGTACGTAAGGGCTTCGCCCCATGCCGCCGGCCCCCTGTCTCAGAGAATGGGAGATGCAAAAGCTGAATCATGAGGTCTGGGCGCCGCCGTGAAGCAGTGTCGGGACCTGTTTGTTTTTCGACCCTGACCCCGCCGATCTGCGTGAGGGGTGCCACCGAATTTCAGGAATATGGCAAATGCCATGTGTTTTTGGACCCTGACCCCGCCGATCTGCGTGAGGGGTGATACCGAATTTCAGAAACGTCGCAAATCCCGCATGTTTTTGGACCCTGACCCCGCCGATTTGCGTGAGGGGTGCCGCCGAATTTCCGAAATGTGGCGCGTCCCTTGTGTTTTTGGGCCTTGACCCCGCCGATCTGCGTGAGGGGTGCCACCGAATTCAGGAGGAAAAGAAACACACAGACACAATGAACCCTCGGTTTTTCCCGAAAATATGGGACAAGATGGGAAGTGGGCGGGAAGACAGAAACCCAGAAAATATATGAAAATATGTTGGATTATTTTATTTGTGTGTATTTATTTGTGTGTCCTTGGGCCCCTTCACGAATTTCAGAAGTGTGGCAAATCCCATATGTTTTTTGACCCTGACCCCGCCGATCTGCGTGAGGGGTGCCACTGAAGTTCAAACATGTGGCAAATCCCATGTGTTTTTGGACCCTGACCCTGCGGATCTGCGTGAGGGGTGTCAATTTTTACCCCCCCAGAGAAATTCTGAGAACCCTCCCAGGGCGTAGTAGTTCTGCTGGTTTGGGCTCCCCCCCCTCGCGCGTTCATCAACAAGGAACAGTAAGCAGCAAGAAGCAGAACTGCAACAGTGGAAACTGGAAGCCGCAATTGGCACAGGGAGCAGCACACTCCCGGCCTACAGCCTGGTGGCCCCGCAAGGGGGCTGGCGGATTATTTTTTTTTGTTTTTTTTCCTTCCCTCGTACTGTCCTCTGTCGTCGTCGTCGTCGTCATCATCGCCCTCCGCATTCCTCCTCGTACTCGCCCTCGTTTTCTTCGTCCTCGTCCTTGTGCTTCTCTTCCTCCTCGTTGTCCTCATGCTCCTCCTCGCGATCCTCACGTTCGCCACGTCGTCCTCGTCATCGACTCCTCGTTGTCCTCGCCTTCCTTCTCTTCTTCGCCCACTACGCCCACAGCGGCGCTCCCCGTTCTTGTCCGATCCGGTTCATTTTTTGTGTTCCTTCCAAAATCCGCACGCAGGAGAGGACACGCCCGACTTGGCAGTGGTGACCCCTCGCCGGAGTGGCTTCTCTGGTGCGCGGCTGCAGAGGTGGGCGGCGGGAGAGGGCATAGACCCAAAGCACGCAGGCCGCAGCCCCGTGGCACCGCACGGGGCGATCGCGGCGGCGATCACTCCTGCCTCGGGCCACTGTCAGGAGGGGAGAAAGCACACAGACACAATGAATCTTCGATTCCCCAGAAAATATGGGAAAATATGGGAATTGGGGGGGGGGGAAGACAAAAACCCAGACATTTAGGAAATATAGGGATTTGTTTTATTTGTGTGTATTTATTTGTGTGTCCTTGGGCCCCTTCACACTGGTGCGCGCTTCTCGCGGGCGGTTATGCTCCCCCACCCCACGACGTTTTGACGAGAACGAAACCGCTCAGAAGAGGAGCGGATGTCTGGGATGGACTCCCAGCCTCGGGCCACTGGTGCGCGCTTCTCGCAGGCGGTGATGCTCCCCCACCCCGCGACGTTTTGGCGAGAATGAAGCCGCTCAGAAAAGGAGCGGATGCCTGGGATATATATTCCCAGGGAGCTCTTCGGACGCACCCCTTGTCGAGGCTGGGCGCCCCCCGTCGTATATCCCAAGGTTGGGGCACAAGTGTCCAGCCAATTCGAGAACCCCACGAATCCTGGGATAGAGGTCGACGTATCCCCTGTGCGCTCCTGCCAGGACTGGGCCGAAAGGATCACCCTTCAGGGCGGCGGCCCAGGCGGCGGCAGGTGGCGCGGCGCGCTGAAGGCCTTCTGCGAGATGCAGCTGGCGGGTGTTCGGGGCGGCCGAAGCGCAGCAGAGATGGTGAGTTGTTCTTGAAGGAGCACGAGGGCGCAGGGAAAGGGTGAGCAGCTCCAGTATCAGCCCTGTGCAACTGACGAGGGGCTAGCGGCAGTGCCAGAAGAGAGCTTGAACCCCCCACCCCCGAGTGACGGGGAGGGCAGCAGGAGGAGGAGAAGGAGGAGGAGGAGGAGAATAGGGACAGGGGCACCGGGTGTGCGCGGCACGGAACAAATGCTCGCAGTAATGGGAATGGCGCCGGGAGTGCGCGGCATCTAACCAATTCTTTCAGTATCCATCATTGTTCCTCGTTCTGCTCCTCCTCTTTGAACTTAAGTGCCTCGCTGCGGTTTTCGTGCGTCGGTGCCGTCGGGAAGAAGAGAAAGGAGGAGAGGGAGAAGGAGGAGGGGAGAGGAGACGGCAACGTCTCACTATCATTGTTGTTCTGGCCGCCCTGAGGTGTGGGCCCTGCGAGAGTCACCCACGCAGCGCTGCTGACCTGCCTTGCGCAGGACTCGCAGTGGCAGAGTGCAATGGAAGTGTTGGACGAAGCGGACCAGCTGAATTTGGGGCTGACCTCCAAGATGTTCGCTTCCGCTCTGCGGGCGTGTAGGTACCGTAGGCAATGGGAGTTCGCCTTGCAGCTGTTCGAGAACATGAAACGGAGGGGGCAGAGCCCTGCCTTGGAGCACTACAACGAGGTGATCATGGCGTGCGCAAGGGGCGGCCATCTCATGCAAGTGCTAGCTGTTATGGAGGAGATGCGCTACGTTGGTGCCGAGATGGACACGCAAACTTACAACAGCGCCATCAGCGCCTGCCGTGACGCGGGTGACACGGTTAGGGCAGCAGGATTCTACGCCCGCATGAAGGAAGAAGGGGTTCCGGTGAACGAGGTAACATACAACACGCTTATCGTCGTCTACGGCAAGAGTGGGAAGTTGGAGCAGGCCCTGGACCTCCTCGTGCAGATGCAGGAGGACGGTTTCATCCCAACTGTGTGGACCTATAACACCGCCATGTGCGCGTGTGGCAAGAACGGCCAGTGGCAGCAGGCGTTCTGTCTCCTGGAAGATATGCAAGCGAAGGACATGAAGCCGAACGTAGTGACATATAACACCCTGATGACAGTATGCAAAGAACAAGAGCTCTGGGTGCAGGCGATGCGGCTTCTGCCAGAGATGCGGAGACGCGGCGTGGATCCGGACACGACCACCTTTGGCATCTTGGCCTACACCTCCGGACAATGTGGCGAGTGGAGGTGGGCGATCTCGCTGTTAAACCAGATGTTTCAGGAGAATCTCGAGCCAAGGGAAATCACCTACAACGTCACCATGTTCGCCTGCGCTAGGGGCAAACAGTGGGCAAGAGTGCTCGGCCTGATGGAAGATATGCAGTCGAAGAACTTGCCCCCTTCGGTCGTCACGTACGGCACCGTCATCAACGCCCTCGCCATTGGCCAGGATGGAGAACGAAGAAACAGCGTAAGCAAAATGAACTTGTGGCCCGCGCGGACTTCTTGGGTCGGCTCTAGATCCCCCCTTCCCGCACCCCTTTTCCCTGCGCGCAGGGCAGGCGGGGGGCTGCGCCGGAGGCGCCGCCAAGGGTGTGCGGGGAGGGGGTTTAGCGCCAACCCAGAAAGTTCGCGCGGACCTCTGGAATTTTCTGTTCATGCCTGTAAACGTTGACTTTGATGCATCAGGACATTGGCGCACCCAGGAAAATTGCAGCCGCGGGTTGAGTCGTTCTTCGTCCTCCCCTTTCTCCTGCTGGATCTGTCAAAGTCGCGGTTTGCAGTGTCCTGGTTTTGTCGGGTCGAACGTAAGGGGGGGAGGGTCCGAAATCTGCTGTATGCAGCTGGTCTCGGCCCCGCAGGAGGGTGCTTTCCTTGATGAGTTGGCGCCTCCGGCGCAGGGAGGCGCTGGGGAAATCATCTACTCGAGCCGATTCGCTCATCTTCGTTTCACTCGCCCCCCGCTAGCTGCCCTGATGATACGCTCGTTCTGAAACGCAACACGTGCCGTGCTCAAGACGTCCGTGGTGGCTCGCCGCGTGTTGGTTCGGGAAGTGTTGACCCACGTTTTGGCGAACGTACAGTCAACGCGCCTAGTAAGGACGCGCGCCTTCATCTAGGGTGCCCTTGTGTCCCTGCCTCTGCGGCCCCTCCTTTGCCGTTTTCACTGGTCGCCCGCCGCCCCAAAAATCCCAACTCCGGCCTCCCAGGGTCCTGCGTCCTTGCCACCCGTCCTTGATGCACGTGCTGAGCGTATCGCGCCAGGCCTGCGCGTTCAGTCTGCATGTGGAGCTCCCTGTCAGCACGCGGCGGGCTTCGTGCTGCGTGCCGGGGCGGTGCAGCCCTCCGTCCGTCGCGTCCAGCCCGGGGCCCTTCCCGCGGGAGGAGTGGAGGCGGGCCCTGGACGTCTTTGGGGACATGCGCGCCAGTGCGGTCCCGCCGAACCCGGCCGCCTTCGGGGCCGCGATCAACGCCTGCGAGACGTGCGGCCAGTGGGAGCACGTGCTCTCCATCATGCGCGAGATGCGGGCGCAGGCCCTCCGAGCTGCAGAGCGTGGGAGCCTTGTGTATGTCCTCGGGGCTCCGTCTTTAGATTGCTTTAGCGTGCGCTAGCGTTTGGCCATCCATGAGGAAGCGTCGCTGCGGTGTCGATCAGCGTCGATGTAGCGTGGATTCGCGGCGAGTCGATTCGCGCCGACAAGCGTCAACCAGCGACGATTGGCGTCGGCTCGCGTCGATTCGCCAGAGCGAGCAAGATGGCATGGGAGGCCCCCGTGGTTAGCCACAGAAAAATCATGACGGAAGGCTTTTGGCGGAGGCAGGAAGAATGCCTAGCACCAGCTCGGAGGTTGAACTTCGATCGAAGAGGGTTTCAGATCTATGGAGCCTCCAAGAAGGCTTTCGTCGCCACGGCTGGAGTCCCCTCGAAAGTCTGGTCGGACCGCGCCTCCATGGATGAGTCTGGGTGCCGAGTTTTAGGCCACCAGCCCCCTCTTTATTCGGAGGGAGGAAGAACTACATACACACAAACGGTTGACATCTTTTGGCGGTCCGCTCGGATTTCCTGGATCTGCTGTGGACCCGCGGGCGGCAACAGAGGCGCCGCGAAAGGGGGCCCAGGGCAGATCCAAGAAATCCACGAGGAGTTCCGACAGTATATCTGTTTATGCAAGTTTTTCGCTTTCGATTCCCCTCGTTGTGACAGAGACCACGACGGGACGCTGGGCACTCTTCGTCGGCCTCCGGGAGCCCCCACCGGGCGCTTGGATTGCCGAAGAACGATTCAGGATGAACAGCGGGTCCCGGGTAAGGGGTCCAGACCTTTGGGGAGCCGCAGTTCGAACAACAACAAACACGAAACATATATACATATATATATGTATATATGATTTGCTTGATTGCGTTATTTTATACAAGTGGCATAGTGCCAACATCGCAGAGCGGATTGCTTCCGGAAGACAATGGGATGGGCTCATAATGTCCTGGAGACTTCCGCTTCGGATTTCGAAGTGAAGTTCGTGGGGGTTTTTCTGGCCAGGAACGAAGACTAAAACAGTCGACGCGCAATTCATTTGGTGTTTCACTTGCCGTTGCGGGGTAATCCACGCACAAGTCCTCTACAGCGCGTCTGCAAGGTCGGTGCAGTGAGAAGGGCCTTGCCGCCGAACATTGATCCGCTCGGCGCCCTGTCAGGTTCGAGTGGATAACGATTCTGTGTCACCTTCCTGCCCCGCCTGGAGCACTCAGATGGGAAGCGGGGCCTGATTGGTTCCCATTCATATCGTGCGTGCCCCGCTGGGCGCAGCCGGGCGCCGCCGAGCGCCGCCGCGTCGCTGCGCGGCCACGGGCGCCGCCGAGCGCCACGGCGCAGCCGTGCGCCGCAGTCGGGCGCCGCCGTGCGCTACCACCCCCACCAACCAGCGGTGCGAAGCTGGGCATCTCGCGCGCCCGCCTCCGGGACGCCGCCACGACGGCCGCGAACCGCCAAGTTTGGGACCTTGCCTACTACGCCCGCAGCCTGATCCTCGCCCTCAGCTTCGTCAGGAAGATGTCATCGAGCTGGACACGTCTGGCATCCCGCAGTTCGACGCAGAGCATTTCACCGAGTACGGAGAAGGCTGCTGGGACCTAGACGACGGCCGAGAAGGAAAACCTCGACAGAAGGCCGCTGCAACACATCTCCATCCAGAGGTCATCGGCCCAGCATGCGAAGCGGTGCGAAAGTTCAAGCGTGCAGATCTTTTGACAGCAGGTGAAGAAGGCAACGCCAAATGCGATGGAGTCCAGTAAGTGCTGACGGAGCTGACGAACGTCGTTCGAGACATTGCGCCAGTTCGATTGACGGAAATACCCGGTACGCCTTTGTACGGCAGTGCCGTCTGGCGCGGACAAGACGAGTCGATGGCCATCTGCGCGGCACAACGCTGCAAGGAGTTTGCCAAACGGCAGGAGGTCAGCTCAGACACTGCCGCCAGCGAAGACATTCAAGCCGCTTTCATCGTGCGTTTCTCTGGTGCCAGCATGGAAGAGCAAGCCGCAGTATTAGCCAGCAGCAACAACTAGCGGACCATCGCGGGCATCGAGCACGCGCTAAGAGGCATCCCGGGATGCACCGCCAACGAGATCGACGCCAGGAACGACAAAACGGCCCCACCTCGCCTCTGTCACAGAGGACGACGATGGCGACTGCAGCGGCAGCGAGTTGGACGACCAGGGCGGCTTCGAGGACGGCCGGGAGTTCGACGACGAGAACTACGAGGAGTACGAGGAGGAAGAGGACGACCTCGACGCCCACCTTGTCGACGCCAAGTCTAGCGACCTGTTCCCAGAGGCGTGTCAGACGCTGGCCTTGGCGGTGCAGAGTCGCCGCGAGATCGCCGACGAGAAGCGGCGGCCGCCGATGCGCGTCGGCCGCTCGTTCCACGGCAGATGCGCCAAAGGCCGCTCCCGTGGAGGGAGCTGCTCGCGCTGCGACTGGCGGGGGGCAGCTCGCTGCAAAGGTTGCGGATCGCCGCGGCCAGGACAGGCAAGGGGCAGCAGTTCGAACCAAGGCTTCGACGACCGACAGCGCCAAGCCCGCCAGAAGCACATCGAGGAGATAAAGAAGAAGGAGAAGAAGAATAATCATACCCAGTGCGCGAACAGCCGGGAGTTCGGTCGCTGGCAGGGCGACGCAATCTGCGCCGCGCAGAAGAGCAACCGCTCAGCAGGTCCGAAGAAGCCGGACTGGAGCGACTTCACCGTGCAGGAGGACGGCGACGACCAGAACGCGGACCAGGAGCGTGACCAGGAGGCGCTCGTGGTCAAGAAGTGCAAGGGCGAGATGGTCGAGCCCTGCGAGTACGTCTGCGGCCCGCAGAGGGGTAAGAACCTGTTCGAGAGGGGCGCCAGCGGCACGCGCGGGCGCGTCGAGCGCAGCGAGTGCGATCGCAGGATGCCCGCCGACCTGCGGGGGCTCATGATGACCGCCCTGCGCGCGACGGCCCAGGCAAGGAGGTCGGCGGCCGCGGGGCGACCGAGGGCGGCAGCCCTGCGACGGCAGCGGCATCGCCGCGAAGTTCAGCAGCCGCGGCATCAGCGGCATCCGCTTACAGAAGGGAACAAGGGATGATGGCTCTCTTCGAGACTGGCGTCAGCCTCCGCTCGGGGCGCCACGGGGCGGATCGAGCCTGCCCCCGACAAGGGCGAGCCGCGAAGCCCAAGGAGGGGCTCAAGTCCCAAGAGATTCACGTCGCCGGCGCTGGCCCTGCGCTGCGGGACGTGACCGAGGACCTCGCGTTTCTCTACGGCTATCCTCTCTGCAACACGAAGAAGCTGCCAGTCCACTCGGGCTGCGACTGCGAGCTAGGCCCGATGCCAGGCCCCAAAGAGATCATCAATATAGGAACTCGCAGGGGGGCCGGGTCCTCCGACGCAGCGGACGACCCGAGGCTCATCCGGCATAAGAGATGGGAATTGGACGAGGTTATCGGGAAGAGCGACCCTGTGCGCGTCGGGCTCGACCGCCACGGCTGCTCTCGACGGCGTCCTGCGGGTGGCCCGCGGCCGGTTCGGCGTCGACCTGAAGCAATAGATCGAAATGTCAGAATAGGACAGTTATCGGGATGGGAGGGATGTAATTGGGAGAACTCATCATTGATCGCTTATGTTGAGGGTACTGCGCGGGCATTGGCCATCGCGCCCCCCGACCCCCCCGCGGCTTGAATTGCTCGTCAATTGCGCTAGTGCCACTCGGGCCGAACTTCCGCGCAATGGCCGAAAGTCCGTCCAGACGGCGCTCGCGCTTTGGCCGGGCAGCACACCGACGGCGCCACCTGCGCGTCGCGGCCAGTTTATGGGCGAATCGTGAGGATGTCTCAGCAGAAACCGGCGTTTTTCTGGCTCAGATGGGGGGCTGGGCGACGCCGGCGAATCGCGCGCACGTCTGACGAAAGCCAAAGTCGAAGCGATGCACCAGCAGGTGGGGCAAGTTTGATTCCCGCCAGTTTGCGTCGAACGCGCGCGGAGCGAGGGTCCGACGGCCGCGATGAGTCTGCGCAGGAAGTTGCGCATCTCGTGGGAGATGTTGCGGCGGTTATTCCCGTCTGCTGCGTCGTGAATCCTTGTTGCCCGCGTCGCGCCTCCGTCTGCCCCCCCCCCCCCCCCTTCTCCATCTCGCGATCAGAGTCACCGCGGTGCGACAGGCGCAGGACTGGGCAACGTAAGAGGGCGCCGCCAGGGGTGGGCCACTTGCTGGTTCGGGCCCATCTTGTCGGGATGTCTCCAGCGGTTCGCTTGTTTTGCGGATATAGGCGCGTCGTTTTCAAGGCCGCGCGGCGTTCGCGACGTCGCAACCAGGGCCCTTGGGCGCTGCGTGGGAAAACGGCCTCGGGTGGGGCACTTGCCCGTTCGCGCCAAGCATTCACGGAGATTTCGCGCGAGACGCTGGCTTTTTTTGGTGGGCGTGCTTTTTTTTCCAGGGCCGCCGCGAATTCATATTTGGGTGCTCCAGAGAGGGAGGGGGGGCGCCAGAGGGTCGGACACTGGCCCGTTGGCGCCCAGATTGCGGGGATCGCGGCGTAGCAGACATCGCTTTCGCTGGGGGGGGGGGGGGGGGCGCCGGGGGGGGGGGGCGTCGCGGGTGCGTTCGCGCCCAGAGCGTGGGGATATGTCCATCGAGTCGCTGGTTTTGGGGATGTCGACGCGTCTCTTTCTAGGGCCGCGCAGGCGCCGCGACGGCGCAGTAGACAGTTTGCAGCCAGGGGGCAGGGCGCGCGCGCGTCGGCGCCCAGATGGCGGGGGCAACTCGCGCGAAACGCCGGCCGCTGAGTGTTAGAAGTGGACGAGGAGGACCAGGGGGAGCAAAAAGAGAAGAAGAAGGAGGAGGGGTAGGAGCTGACCGATGCATACACATGGATCTCACGTAACGAAGCATTTCTCTCGCCGTCGCCCGTGCAGCATCTCGCTCTTGAGAGTCTCTGCCCCCGCGTGCACTTGGCCCGCGCAGTCCATGCCCGTCTGAGTCTCTCCCCCCCCTCTCTCCGGCGCTCTCCCGC